ACCAGCGTTTACAGCAGCTTTCTCTGTAACTGTCAAAACTGGGCAGCAGCCAAGGCGTCCTCCAGGAGGTGACCTGATGAACGACGTTGCATCCAGACAATGGAACAGTATTCAGAGCTAAAAAGGAATGAGCTAGCAAGCCGTGGAGACACAGCGGAAACTTCGCTGCATGTGACTCTGTGAGCGACGCCCATCCGAAGAGGCTACATAGTGTATGTTTCCAACTGCACCACATTCTGGAAAAGCCCAAACTATGGAGATGGTGAAAAGATGAGCGGTTGCCAGGGGTTAGGGGAGGGAGGGAGGAGTAGGTGGAACATAGAGGACTTCAGGGCAGTGACACTGTTCTTCATCGCACTGTAGTGGTGGGTACATGTCATCACACATCTGTCCCCACCCACAGAATGTACCACACCCAGAGCGAATTGAGTGTAAACCAGACTTTCCGGGTGACATGATGTGTCAGTGGAGGCTCATCAATTGTAACAAATGGACTACTTTGGTGCCAGACATTGGTGGGAAAGGCTGTGCAAGTGTGGGGGCAAGAAACACATGAGAAACCTCTGTACCTTCTTCTCAATTCTGCTGTGAACCTAAAACTGCTCTGAAAAATAAACTTTATTTTTAAAAAAAAAGAAAGAATAACAGTAAATAAAACTATCTAGTGACACAAAAAAAAGAGACCTAAGTTCAATTCCCAACTTTTAGTGTGAACCTGCACAAGTTACTTAACTGTAGTCAGATGCAACTTCCTCATCAGCTAATGGTGACAACAGTATCTATTTTGCGAGCTGCTGTAAGGATGAGCTGTGAGCTCAGTAAATGTGAGCCTGTAGTAGGGATCACACTCAATGCTCACCGGGCCACGCTTTCTACCAGCACATAATATGGACTTGATAAACAGCTTAAAAAGTCAGATTTACAAATTTCAAATTAAAACGTGTTTGGTTCTATAGCCAGAGACTCTAAATCAGTGGTTCTCAACCTTCCTAATGCCGCGACCCTTTAATACAGTTCCTCATGCTGTGGTGACCCCAATTTCATGGTTACAAATTGAACATAATTAAAGCATAGTGATTAATCACAAAAACAATATGTAATTATCTATGTGTTTTCCGATGGTCTTAGGCAACCCCTGTGAAAGGGTTGTTTGACCTCCAAAGGGGTCACGACCCACAGGTTGAGAACCTCTGCTCTAAATGGAAACCTTGAATACTTAACGTGTAAATCCTTTTAAGAATCTTACTATTGAGACAGGTATGTTTATACGCATTAGAGAGCACAAGAAACCAAGACCCCCACAAGTTATCAGTAACATGACCAAAGTCACACAATTATAAAGAATCGCAATTCTGGAGGAATCCCTGTGAATGTGGCAATCCAACATGGTCCGAGTGTTACCTCAAGCTTATCAGAAGCTCTACTTGGTAGTTACATGTGAACTTAATTAATAAAAAGGGAATTTAAAATCTGCAGCATATGCAGTCTTCCCAAGGATATTTGCATACTGTAAGACAATATTTCACCATATAACCGAGGAAATGACGATCTCAACAAATTTAAAGAATTAATTATGAATAATGCTCACTGTGTACTAAAAATAAATCCCCCAAAAGATTAGCACACCCCATAGTTTACAATAGGAGATATAGCCCTGACTGGTTTGGCTCAGGGGACAGATCTTCGGCCTGCGGACCGAGGGGTCCCAGGTTCGGTTCCAGTCAGGGGCATGTGCCTTGGTTGCAGGCACGTCCCCAGTGGGGGGTGTGCAGGAGGCGGCTGATCCATGTTTCTCTCTCATCAATGTTTCTGACTTTCGGTCCCTCTCCCTTCCTCTCTGTAGAAAATCAATAAAATATATTTTAATAAATAAATAAATAAAATAGGAGATATAGTTCTAAATAACCCATAGGGACAAAAAGGAAATCACAACGCAAATAAAGTATTTTAAACGGATGTTAAAAATACTGCATACTAAAACTTTGAGATGCAACTGAAATAGAACAGAGGGAAATCTGTAGCTTTAAAATGCATATGTTGGGAAAGATAAGCAATGAAAATAAAAGAGCTAAGTAAGCATTCTTTTCCAGAAACTATAAAATAGCAAAATAACACCCCAAAATGAAGAAAATTAAAGATGAAGAGCAAGAAATTACTCAAATTGAAAACAATGAAAAAGAAGAGAATATCAACAAACCCAAACTGATTTCATCAAGAAACTCAACACTGATCAACCTTTGGGAAGACTGATCAGAAGAGAGAAAAGGCACGAATAACATAGAAAACTTTCAGAAATGAAAAGGAGGGGACTGCCAAGATCTTGCAACTTAAAAAAAAAGAATACCGTAAGATATTACAAATGATACCTTACTATCTTAAATAATATTATGCCAAAATATTTGAAAATGTAAAGAAAATAACCAAAACCCGAGAATATAACAAAAACTGACTCTGTAAAAAATTCCGTGAAATATTCAGGAAAAACCTGAAGAGTCCTCTAACCATTAAGGAAATTGAATCAGTAGTCAAATATTTTCCCAAAAAGAAAACCCCAGACCAGAGTGTGGCCAGTTCACATTCAAGGAAAGAGTAATTCCAGTTTACACAGCTCTCCCAGAGAACTCCTACAGGAAGAGGGAGGCGACTCGCAAGCCAGCGTTCTGAGGCCGGCATCACTGAGACCCCAATCGGAACAAGGACAGAATCAAAAAGGAAGTCACACCCCTCGCAGGAAAAAATCTACTAACAAAAGGCTCCAGAAGCAAATCACATGACAAAGTTGAATTAACACCTGCCTTGAAAGCTGCTTTAACGTTAGAAATCAAAATTTATAACTGACCATATTAACCGGCAAAGGACAAAATCATCTGATGATCTCAAATCCTGTACAAAACAGATTTGATGAAAGTTAACACCCACTCATAATTTAAAACAAAACAAAAAAACTCCTAGTCACCTAAGAACAGAAGGGGCCTTCTTTAACCTAAAGATAAGTATCAACAAAACCCCCACAGCACCCAGTATGATTACCTGCCGGCTGCAGACAAAGGGTGTTCCTCTGGAGGGAACGGGTCCACAGCCCTGCTGTTCCCGTTCCCAGGCAACATGGCCCTGAAACCTGTCAGCGAGACCAAGACATGAAGCCCAAGGAGTGGAAAAGGAGAAGCGGAACTGTCATTTTACCCCCGAGATGAAATGTCATTTCTAATCTACATAGAAAATATTAAAGTAGAACAAATTTAAGTAAGAATTATACCATGTTCACAGATTACAGGACTAGAGATTAAATCAGACTCGAGGGCCACAATGGGTTCTTAAACTGGCCTGGAGGCCGGAACAAAAGCATGGATGGAGTGTTTGTGTGAACTAATATAAATTCAAAGTAAACATCATTACATAAAAGGGTACGGTCTTTTTTTTTTTTTTTAAGTTTTATTCATTTCAAACGGGCTGGTTCCGGCCCGCGGGCCGTAGTTTGCCCACAGCTGGATCAAATGCAATTCCAGTCTGAATCACAGCAGGGGTGTGTGTGTGTGTGTGTGTGTGTGTGTGTGTGTGTGTATGTGTGTGTGTGTGTGTGTGTAATTTCACACACCGGAAGACGTGTTTGTGTGTCTATGTAATCTGACGATATGATTTTAAAATTTGTGTGATGATACAAAGGGCCAAGCATAGCTGAGATGCTGTTCAAAGCAGTGAGAGGATTTGTTTTCACAAGACAGTGAGCCCTGTGGTGAGACAGTGTGGTCCTGGGGCAGGAAGAGATAAAGCAATAGGACAGAACGGGATAAGAAAGACTCAAACCTACATTGACATGTGATTAACAAGGATGTAACAGCAGATAACTGAGTAAGAGACAGTCTTTTCAAAAATAATACTGGGACAGCTGGGCATCAGTACGAAAAAATGGAAACTGGACTCCGTGTTCACACAACACAGAAAATGCCATTCCATGTACTAACCTAAATGCAAAGAAGTCCAAATAGAAAGGTTTTTAAAACAATAACTCTGTTAAGAAAGATTTTAAAACCAAACATAAAATCATATCCATAAAGGAAAATATTAATAAACTATATTATATTAATAGGCCACATTAAACTTAAGAACTTTTTTTTCCC